AGGGGTCTTAAATCAAAGATCTGTTTATATACTTACCTAGTTCCTTTATCGTTTTTAAATATTTAATCTTTAACCCATGTGGACTTTGCTTTGGTTAATATGAGTCAGGGCTATAGCTTCCCTTTTTCAGATAGTTGCCTTATTATTAAATAATGCCAGTTTTCCATGCCTTGAAATGTTATTACTGCCCAAAATCTTCCCCCAAATTGTACTGTTTCTTGGGCTCTGTATCTCGCTCTCTGGATCTGTGTCTCTATTCCTGCATTATGTCAATTATTGATATTTTATTCTTTTAAACAAATTTCAACACCACTTTCTTTTGTAATATATTCTGGTATTAAACACCCCTGTTGTAACTATTTTATAGAATGCTGTTGGTCAGTCTCATGACATTTACAATTATCTTGTTAAATGAAAAAAAGTGCCATTGGACCTCTGATTAGAATTGCATTAGATATGCATACTAATTGAAAGATAACTGAAATCTCTATAACATGAAATTTTCTTTTAAATAAAAAATTTAACCTTCATTTGAATTTTTAATTTGTTCTTTACTTATTAATTTCTAGTGTTATTATATTATTTTTTAAATATTCTCCTTTTTCTTCTTTTTTAAAAAGATTTTATTTATTTATCTTTAAAGGGGAAGGGAAGGAGAGAGGGAGAGAAATATCAATGTGTGGTTGCCTCTCGTGCATCCCCCGCTGGGAACTGGCCTGCAACCCAGGCATGTGCCCTGATTGGGAATTGAATCGTGATCCTTTGGTTTGCAGGCCCACACTCAATCCACTGAGTTACGCCAGCCAGGGCTAGTATTATTATATTATGATGAGAATTTATAGCTATTTTGACTTCTCCTGTGTTCATATGTATTGAGCTACCCTCTATGGAGTAATATGGCATAAATTTTTATAAATGGTTCCTGGAGAGAAATTTCGTATTTTTTAAAAGATTTTTATTTATTTATATTTTTTAGAGAGAAATGAAAAGGAAGGAGAAAGAGAGGGAGAGAAACATCAATATGTGATTGCCTCTCATGCACCCCTAACTGGGGACCTGGCCCACAACCCAGGCATGTGTCCTGACTGGGAATCAAACCAACAACCCTTTGGTTTGATTGAGGCTGGCACTCAATTTATTGAGCCACACCAACAAGGGCAAAATTTTACATTTTCTATAAGGTACAAAGTTCAACACACCTATCAAAGCAAACTTATTCCTCAACATTTCATTTTTTATCTTTATTTGCCCAATATGAAGTCTCCAACTGTTATTATTTTACCCATGTATCTTTTTATTTCTTTTTACAATTTCTCTGACTTTGAAAAATTATTCTGACTAGGCATAAATCCTCAGATCCAATAAATCCTACAGCCTGTATTTGTAAAGTTTTATTGGAACACAGTCAGACATTCGTTTATCTGTTGTCTGGAGCTACTTCCCACCACGCAACTGCAGGGTAGTAACAATACAGATTGTATGGCCCACAAAGCTGAAAATACAGGGCCGAGCAAAAGTAGGTTTATACCTGTGAGTACATAAAACACAGTTTATTCTTATGTTATAATTAATGAAGGCCGGCAATTTGAAGGCTTACAAGATTGTGTTACCAAATAGCCGAGTGGGGCCCTGCTGCCCACTGCCACCCTCTGGGCAAAATTCCAGAGGCAAAGGTTTGCTGATAAAAGAAAGGAGTCTTTATTTAAAAGCTTCACAATTTTGGAATAACAGCTTTCCACATACATGAGTCATTTGTACCTATCAATGAAGGCTAATATCTTTAACTGTTTACTTACAGCTTTAACCGCTTAAACCTATCAATGAAGGCTAAACACCTGAGTTCCCCCATCATTTCCCTCTGTTCATGTTAATTATTATATTATTTCTATAGGGCACAGGTGGCAAACACAAGGCTGTGAGGCTGAATCCAGCCCCGTCTTGTTTTATTCAGCCTGACACTTTGCTTCTACCCTGCGGCAGCACCGAACTCTCTCTGAACTGTTAAGGAATAGTTACATTTATACAATCCTAAATTTACGTCCAGTCCTTTGAAGGCAACCGTAAGGCTGATGTGGCTCCTGGTTGTGGCTGATATGAGTTTGACTCCCCTGCCATTGAGATAGTTTACCAGTTAAAACAACATAAGATATAAAAGCCACACAATTTTGGAAAAATGGCAGGCTTCTGCCTCAGAGGTCGTCCCCTCTAGAACATCCAAAGAAGAATAGCCTCGCCACCCTCTGCCAGGCCAGCCTGACTCTGGGCTGTGCCTGGAGTTCCTTCCCATCCAAAATACCATCCACTGGGAAACGCAGGCAGCTACAGTATGATCATCCAGGCACCCTCAAGAAAGGAGGGAGCTGGAAAGACAGAGAGAGCCCGCACCAACCCTTTTGAGAGCCCTTCTGTTATCTCAAATCACCTTACCTATAATTCCATGTGCTCTGGAGGCATTCAGCTTCTCGGCCAATCCATTCCTAGAGTGTTTACCGTTGCCTTGGCAAACTGCTCCTACAGCCCCTCCCTACTTCTCCCCAGTGATCTGATCAGATTTCTCTCTATCAAGTATACCTAAATGCACTGTGAATGTAACTCACATTCTTTTGAGTTCATAAAACCACTGTAATAACCATAACCTGCATGTCTTTTTCCATATGAACTGTAAACCTACTTTTGGCCACCTGTGTATTTTCTATGTCTCTCTCCCTTTAAAAAGAAACTTATTGACATAACATTGGTTAACATTATATAAATTTACTTTATTACTTTATTACTTCTTGTATATGCTATGGTGTACTCACCACTTGAAATCTATTAATAAGGCAAGAAATCAATGTTGGAGAGGATATGGAGAAAGGGAGCCCTTGTGCTCTGGTGGTGGGAACGTAAATTGGTGCAGCCATGTGAAAAACAGTATAGAATTTCCTCAAAAAATTAAGAATAAAGCTACCATGGGACCCTCAAATCCCTCTTCTGGATATTTCCCCCCCAAATTGGAGAAATTATAATTTTTGTGTAGAATTTACAAATACAAACACACTAGTTGTAGAGATAAATGTACCCCTCTGTTTTATTATCTGTCTCTTGATGATGTGGGAAGCTTTGGAAAACCTTTGTTCACCCAAAACCCCGGGCGCTCTGGGAGAATGATAAGGCCGTCTGGGAAAAGCAAACAGCAGGATAGTCACAAGGACTGAGGCTAGAACCCCCACTGATAGAAGTAATTTTCACATTTAGCCTTTGTACTCTGCTTCTGCCCTATAGATAGAACTAATTACCAAATTCCTGTATCTCACTTTGCTACACAGACAGGAAGACCCCGTAGGCTATATAAACCCCAAGAATCCTTTGTTTGGGGTTCAGAATTTGGATACTGACTCCTATGGGCCCGTGCACATTAATAATAAACCTCGTACTCCAGAATCCCTCGGTGTCTGGTTGCTTCATTTTCCTATAATATTGACAGAAAAATTTACCCATGATTTGCTAAAAAATAATGTATGTTTATTTTTGTACAGGTTAACTTTCACTCTTTGGTTCTATCCTTATTTGAGTTTATTTGTTTTTAGTAATTTAATAACATAAGCTTAGAATATATGTATCACTTAGAATACCAACTATTTTTGCCACTTTCACCCATCTCATGTAACTCCACTTTTTCCAAGTGCATTTAAACACACACATGAATATAGAATACCTCCTTCAAATTCGTCATTTTTCCAGTCGAGAACAAACTCTACAGGCTTCTTTGCAAATTGTTTTTTGAATCAATATCACGTCCATCCAGGAGACTGAATATCGGATCAAATCACATCTTTGTGATTGCTGCAAAATAGTTTTAGAGTGTAGGTGTCTTACCATTTTTGTAGTGGCTGCACAATTTTACATTTCCACCAGCAGTGTACAAGAGTTCTGATTTCTCTAAGTTACATTCTCATAAACACTTTTTAAAAAATTATTAAAGCCACCCTAGGAGGTGAGAAGTAAGTTTGATTTGCATTTCCCAGATAAATTATGAATATCTTTTGTGAAGAAATGTCTATTTAAGTCCTTTACCCATTTTTAAATTGGGTTGCCTTTCTATTGTTAAGTTGCAAATGTCTTAATATATTCTGCATGGAATTTGCACCTTGTCAGACATATGATTTACAAATATTTTCTTCATTCTGTGAGCTGTCTTTTCACTCTCTTTATAGTGTCTTCAGTGGTCTGAATTTTTATGTCCCATTCCTTCCCCTACCCCTTGCAGCCATTCATATTGAAATCCTAACCTCCAAAGGTGATGATGGTATTAGCAGATGAATCCTTGGAGAGTGAGGGGTACTGGTCATGAGGATGGAACACTCATGAATGAGATTAGTGCTCTTGTAAGGCAGACCCCAAAGAACTCCCTAGGCCCTCCACCAAGGACATGTGTGCTCCAACCTGAAAGAGGGCTGGAACTCAGCACTGTGCGAGACTAACTCCATTCCTACTTTGCAATGCTGTTTCCAGCAAGAGATAGGAAGCATCTTTGCTCTTCCTTCTCTCACTTCTCTTTTGTTATATGGGCCAAGTGGTTTTTCTCTTTGGATTGTCCTAATTGTGAAGTTGCATATTTCAATTTTATACTAGTATAGGATAGTATTTCCTCTTCATTTATGGTGTCAAGAACAAGTGTTAGCTACTTATCCCCTATGTAATACAAGCATAATTTTTTCTTTACTTCATCCCCAACTTCCTAGCTGGGGATGAACTGATATGATCTATTATTTTATATGAAATTTATTATTTTTCATATTCTATGCTTCAGTTAAGAATTAGTCCTGTCATCATATTTATAGATCCATACTAAGAACAATGTTGATGATTCTATTTAACTAGTTTTGTGCCTCTTAATATTTCTTTGAGTCCTTTAAAAGATTTAGTTTGTAGAAATTATTCTTTTTTTCAGAAGGTATATCTACTTGGTCTATGTCTGGCTTCCTGCTTAGGTAAGACTATCCTTCTATTTCTTGTAGATAAATGATAGCTTGGCTGAATACAGAAATGTTATGTTTCCTCGTTCATGAGCTGCAAGGACCAGGGCTGCTGTCAGAATCACCCAGGAATCCTCACGAATGAGCGGATTCATCTCCTGTGGTGCCCACTCCTGCTGACATGCTATGAGCCACTGCAAAGCAACAACGGTGAAGGAGAACACAGCAAGCGGCCCACCTGCCCGGGCCCTGGTGGAACCAGGTGTGCTCCTGCCTCCCTGGAGTTTAATGTGTAGTATAGTCAGTGACATCCCACTTCCATGTAGAAACAGCACTTTGGAATCCCCTTCTCCTCCCAAATCTTGCTCATATTTAAGTTCATGAACAGAATGAGATAATACACTGTTACAGAGCAGGCAGCAGTAGGGAACCTGAAAGACACAGATTCTACAATCTCCTTCTCTTGTTTATGGTCTCAGGGAAATACAGACAAGTTTTTTTTAGCTTCAAACAACCAAAGGTGATGCATTTGGAAGATGAGAAAATTTGCAGACCTTATTTTTAGGCAAATTTTGAAAATAATGCAAAACAAAACTCAGTTCTTGTTAGAGGATTATCTACTTAATTTTAGGATTCCAAGTTTTTTAATGTTTTTTTTTTCCCCTCCACTCCTACGTGAACACTTGTCGGCAGCAGAGGATGGGCCTAGAGTGCACAAGCTCGGATGTACTTCAGGCTCTGAGATGTGAGGGCACCAAGTGATGACCATGGCAGTGGATGGTTAGCAAAGATGGGCTCTGATTAGAGACACCACCTGAGTTGAGACAAAACAGTGGAATAAACACAGTGGAATAAACACATTGTCACAAAGGAAACTTTAACCCTACATTTAATTTTTTTATTAGATATGAAGGTCCAATTTTCAAAAAATGAACAATAAAGACCACCATACATAGGCCTTCACATTTCTTCCCATTTTGAGAAAATTTTAATTCAAATGTTCTTCTTTTGCTGTCATTTAAACAAACTTTTCTAGAGAAAACTTATTTACTCAATGTTGGGATAGGATAGTGAGAAGCTAGGAAAATTCCTGGGCAAGTGCAATAGGTAAATTAAGACAGGTAGATGAGCACAATGGCTGAGCAATGCACAGCCAGATACAGATGGTAACCAGGGCCGGAAGGGAAGGCTCCAGTTCCCGGGCAGGGGGAAAACTGGGAAAATGAGGATCTCCCTCCAAGAATAACCTTTCCTCCCTGGAGATAACATCTAGGCCTTGGTTGGTTGTATTTCATCTCCAGAGCCAGAAAAGCAGTAAAACCAGGTGGAAGATGCCAGAACCGATGTCAACATCTGCAGACTCCCTGCCTTGGCACTGACCAATCAGTAAAGACCACAACCCTAAAAGGACACACCTGGAAAAATGATGACTATTCTGCTGAAAATCTCCCCTGAGACTTCCCCCAAGATTCCTTCCCGCAAGAGATGAAAGCCTCAAAACAAAGGACCCAGTGCACACTCTCCCTCTGTGGAGCAGGCTGCACCATTTTCTTTCCCTTCTTCTCCCCTCACTTCTTTCTTCACAGGCATGTGTCTCCTAACCTCTAAGGCAATGGGCAGCTGGCAGCTTGTCTAAGGCGGATCCCCTGAACCTGTCCCCAAGGCCCCTCTTTTCTCAGACTTCCCAGTGAGCTAAGGCAGCCCAGCTTAGGCTTTTTACAGAACAGACCTGCGGTGGGGGCAAACGATGTACTATTATCAAAAGGACCCCCAATTATTCTCTGGGGGTTCCCCTCCACCATACTAGGTTCGCTTTGCCCACCACCAGGGGAAAGATGTCTCTCAGTGCCAGAGACTGGTGAAAAGGAAAGGAATCATTTGTTCAAAAGTTATACAGACTTAGAGTAATAACTTAATATCGTCATTAAAATACTAAAGTCCTTTAAAATACCCGCAGTGCACACAGTCCTTTCTTCTCCCTCTGCCCAGTTTAGGGTACCACATCTCAGGAAAAGAAGAGGAAGTTCGCGATTCAGGCTCCCGGCACCATCAGCTGTGTGGCCGCTGTGATCTCCAGTTAATCCAAAACCATGTGGCACCTTCTCATGGCCCACCAGCAAGAGTCTTTTCATCCCTTTTTTTCCAGTCAAAGTCTCTCCTGCTTCCTAAGCCATGTGGCAAAAAGGAGCAACCCAAAGCCAGGTGGTCCCAATCTGGTACGGCTGCCACACCTGGGTTTTTTAAATCCCTGTAGCAATCTGCCTTTGCAGCCCCATTTCACAATCAGTTTACACCTGCCAGCATTCCTGTATTCTTTCAGTGTGACTGGGCTGCCATAATAAGTCCAGGCAGGCATGGTCCCATGGCATGGAGCCAATCATCTCCAACCTCTCACAAAGGCGCCGTAACCAGGGTGAGTTGCTTCCCAGTTGCATCCTGTGTTGAAGTCACTCCCATCCCCCAGGCTCAAAGCAAGACCACAGCTATTTAACATATCTATGAAACCAGTTAAAGGTTATAGATACTGAATTTTTCAGACCATAAACAACTAGGTTTTAGAAGAGGAAAATAGGGGGAAAAATGAAGCAAAAATGTGGTACAATATTTAATAACATAAATAACATAGGTTGTCTCCCCCTACCCCACAGTGAGCCAGGTAAGCTACACTTGACTATAAGATGCACCCTTATTTTCCTCCCAAATTTTTTGGGGAAAAGTGTGTCTTATAGTTCAAAAGATATGAGTATGTTAAATGACTATGCCAGAGGTTAGCTGAAAAGCTGTTGCTGTACAAAACAGCTCTCGATGGCCTTGCTCCCTGCATTTCACACCACAGCTCAGACTGGTGGGGGTGAGGACATTATATATATTTTTTCTCTAATATTTCCTGAACAACCTGAGTTCTGAACCCCATTACAAATCCCTATTTGGGTCTCCCCCCTTGGCTGCACCCTGTTACAGGTTCTCCTGTCGCTTCTTCTATGCTAAACCTTTCCCTGTTTCACTGTCCCCAGCTTTAATAAATGTATCCTCACAGTTACCTGGACTCATGTTGTGAAATCTTTTCTACATGAAGTCAAGAACCTACACACTACAGCCGGTCCTAGGCAGGCCACTCAGGGCCAGGCCCCTGTCTAGTAGCAATACATCTAAGTAATTGACAAATTATTTGACAACAGAACATAAATAATATTTACACACATCTATTAATTTCACATATAGAGATATTCAAATGAAAAACTAACTTTGAATCAGAGCCTACTATAAAAGTCAATTTATGTTGGTAAGTATAACAAACATTGGTTGAAAAATATCTCAATTGGGCTTTAAAAAATTAATAGTTCAGCCATTCTTTTATCTAAGCAAGTATTACATTCTTGAAAATAAGTATGTGGAAATAAGTGGGTTATAACGTCAACACCATATTTAATTCAGAATTCCAGTTCATTCCCGCTCAAACTCATCTTCTAAATGCCCCTCACCAGAGATTACAGAGGGAAGGCATATAGAGCAAAATAGTTTTTCCTCTGGTCCACAGATTCCCCAATCATATCCAATTTGGGGCAACATTTCTTTGGCCCAATTTGTGCCACTAAGTAGAAAAATGTAAAACAAAACATGTAAGAAAGAATTCGAGTAGCAGTCCCTCCTTTTGCCCACTGGCTCATCCAAAAGAGACCTTGACTGGTGAGGGGACTCAGCAGAGGGGGAGTATATTCTACCTGAGCATAAAGTGCTACCTGAGCTAGGTGATTTTTCTTCCTTCTAGGACCAACAACCAATACACAAAATTAAGTTTCCTTTTCTGAAATATGTGGCTTAAGATTTATTCTCCTTTTGTGCAGGTGAAGTGATATGCACACAAATAATGAGATCCTTATACAACTTGAGGTTATCTAAATTTACTTCCTACAAAACTGCCTACAGCTAGATGACTTGTTTAAGTGAGCTATTTTTTGCCAATGATACCTCAGACAAGGGTTTGATCTCCAAAATATATAAAGAACTCATGCAACTCCACACCAGAAAGACAAATATCCAGATAAAAAATGGGCAAAGGACTTGAAAAAACTGTTCTCCAAGAAAGACATATAGAGGGCCCATAGACATATGAAAGGATGCTCAGCATCACTAGCCATCAGAGAGATGCAAATTCAAGCCACAGTGAGATACTACTTCACACCAGTGGGAATGGCCATTATAAACAAATCAACAAACAACAAGTGCTGGGGAGGTTGTGGAGAAAAGACAACCCTAGTGCACTGTTAAGTGGGAATGAAGACTGGTGCAGCCACTGTGGAAAACAGTATGAATTTACTCAAAAACTAAAAATGAAACTACATTTCAACCTGGAAATTCCACTGCTGGGATTATATCCTAAGAACCTGAAGCACCAATTCAAAAGAACCTATGCCCCCCAATGTTCAAAGCAGCATGATTTACAATAGCCAAGTGCCCATCAGTAAATGTATGGATCAAAAAACCATGGTACATTCACACAATGGAATACTGTGCAGCAGAGAAAAAGGAACTCCTACCCTTTGCAACAGCATGGGTGGAACTGGAGAGCATTATGCTAAGTGAAGTAAGCCAGACAGTGAAAGACAAATATCATATGAAGTCACCTATAGGTAGAACCCAATCAACAAAACAAACGTGAGCAAAATAGAAACAGACATGAAGATAAAGAACTGACAGTGACTAAAGGGGATGGGGGGGAAGGGAATAAAGGGGAAAGAAAAGGAAGAGTCCAGGAACATGTATAAAGGACCCTTGGGCAAAGACAATGCAAGGGGGAGGATTGCATGTGGAAGATGGGGTAGGGTAGGGTAGGGGAGAGTAATAAGGGGGAAATGGGAAACACTGTAACTGAACAATAAAAAAAATACTGGAAAAAAGTGAGCTATCTTTTTATTCTATGAGAGAGAGAAAACTACCCAGGCCAGAATTTAGGCCAGAATTCTATGTCCCTTAAATAGTAGAATTCTCCCTGAGAAAACTACAAGGCCACAGTGTGCACTTTGTATCAAACTGGCATTCTTGTTATTGAGTATTGGAGCCTTCTAACTTTTTATAGAAGTATGCAACTGATTTTAAATTTTTATTGATTATTGACTAGTGTGTTGATGTTAGAAAATGTTAAGAACAAATTCCATACATTAACTTTATAGCTTCTTTAAGTCATCAAAATGTTGTAAAAACATTTTTTTAAATAGAATTTTACCCTATTTACTATGAGAACTTTCCAATAATATTCTTAGTTAAGGAAGTCAAATTTGTTCCGATTCCCAGTTTTCAGTTTTCTTTTTAGTTTGATGGCTGAAGTGTTACACACATATGTGTAGAATTTTGTTTACAATAAACAATATATAAGACACATTTTAGAGCTGTTGACAGAATGAACCTTAAGAGTTGGCATTAATCTTTAAACAAAAAGATTTCAAAATCAGTTTCTGTACAAAAAATAATTTCATTTAATACTATAGTTCTCTAAATTTGGAGATTTCATTAAAAAAATCACCTACCAACCTTAATACTACCAGTGATGCTGTGTTGACTTGCTCTATAAAAGCAAGTGTTATTTGAAGGAAAACAAACATCTTTGTTCACACTCAAATTCATACCAGTTTCAAAGAAGCATGACAGATTGGTGACTACATTCAGGCCCCATTGAAATGTTAGCATTATGTCTTAACAGTTGCATTCGTAATAGGAAAGGAAACCAGAGATTTAAGCCAGTGCACATGTGTTTAACATTTTTATACTAACTCTTTGAAATCTGGTGTTTACTTTACACTTATAGAACATCTTGTATTTGAAGTCCTCAGTAGGATTATTAATTATTATATTGGAACTATTAACCATAAAAACTATTAAATTAGAAAATGTCATTGTAGTGCCTGCCTTAGTCAATTGACCATGACAGACAGACTAAGGCTAAAATTGGCCCAGCCAGTTATCTGCACTATGCTTGTGACAGCAAGCACGTCTGGGATGTCTGCCCAGTGTCAGAGGACCAGTTAGCCCTGGATTCTTGATATTTCTCTCTGTGGGGAGGCACCACTGTGAGCCACCACTGTCACGGGACCCACTTGTGGTCCAGAAGCTTCCTAAAAACTACTGTGGGGACCGATGTTGTGGTTAGGCCCGTCCCTGGGTGCTCCAAGATGGCTGTATTTTTCTGTGTTTTAAAGTTAATTCACTTTAGTTTCTGTAGTAGTAGCAGCTTTTTCTTCAAATATATTTAAAAATAGAAATCCAATACATAAGAGAGCTAAGTAAACATTGATGTAAATGTAAAGAAATGTTTCTTTGATAAAATAGATATTTGAAGATAACGAATATCTAAAATTAATGTTTAATTATAGTTATTTTACATTAACTTCAGCATTCAATAAATTAACTGCAAGGGTTTCAGACACCTTGAAGCTCACAACAGTCTGAAAACTGGTTGGCTTCAGCCTCAAGGAATCCTGGGAGAACAAGAAGACAGAGAGGGCTGGGAGGCCCAGACTGCCCTTCTAGTAGGAATATTTGTCTTTCCTTTTGGTCCTGGGATCAAAGACATCATTTTGTTTCTTTGCCAAGAAATTGCCCTTTCCATAGGGTTGTGAAGAATCTGCTCCCAAATTCTTGATTGTACCCTAGGGTAGTTCCCCACATCATAAGTGATGGGATATATATCTCTTAACTTGTATCCATTTTTCAAGTAATTTAAATATGTTTAATAATCTTAAAAATGACTACTCATGCTATTTTTCTGTTTTAATATTTTATTTATTGGTTAGAGAGAGGAGAGAGAGAGAGACGTGGATTTGTTGTTTCACTTATTCGTACATTCACTGGTTGATTCTTGTATGTGCTCTTAATAAAGATCAAACCCATAGTTTTGGTGTATCAGGATGGTGCTCTAACCAACTGAGCTACCCAACCGAGGCCTATTGTTCTACTGTGGTGTGAAGGCTATAGAAGGGTAATTGTATTCCAAAACATCATAAGTACAAGTTTACATCAATCCATTTAGTACCAAGTTTTAACATCAATGTTTGATTACCTGTGACTAGTACACTGCTTCCAGAGTTACCCCTAGAAAAAGAGGAGTGTCTTTGTATATTTAGAGCCTTGTAAATCAGTTTTTAAAGCAATGTCTGCCAAGTATTTTTGGAGGGGAGATTATGGACATTAAACAGTGCAAAGAATATAATAAAAATATGTACTTTTCTTTAAGGAAAGCAGGTAATGCTGAATATTACCCCACATCTTGTCTAGAGCATATATAGAAGGTGAGGAGTCTTTAAGAAATCTGAATATCTAAAGCAGAAGAAAAATTTGCTTATAAACTTCATCGTATTTCTTCAAATTTCAAATATATTGGCACATCAGTAACAGTCTTCACCCTTGTTACTCAAAGTATAGTCCAGGTCCAGCAGCATCATCAGTTGGAGCTCATTAGAAGTGGAATCTCAGATCAGTGATGGCACTGAACCTTTAATCTCAAGGTACAATGACTCAGATAATTCCTCACCTTTAAAAGAGACATTTACTGGTAGTGAGAGTGTTTGATTCATATTTATTTAAAGAACCATTAAGTATTCTGATGCACTGATATTTTAAACAAAAGAGTAAGGAACACAAAACTACTTTGTTTTGCTTTTTTTAGAAGTTATTACTACCTGATCCTTTTGAATTGTAAAAACATTCCACCAAGATCATTTCCTACTCAGACTTCTGTGTACATTCAATTTAAAAAATATTTAATGTGTTCTAAATTTAAGATCCAAATAAAGGCATTGTGAATATTTTTAAAAGATAACCAATGATTAATATAAAAGTAAGACATATTACAAGACTCCAAAATCAAAAAGTCTTAAAAATATTAGTTTGATTTTAAAGCTATCTCCAAAGTGACAGGCAAGAACAAACTGCTGAAAATAAAAAGTTTCAATTTTGTTCTAAGCTCCAGTAGTTGTTCTAAATCTTTCAGTACATTGAAAATTATTTAATTAACATTTATATGCAATGTTGACAAATTCTATTCTCCTTAGAAGATATATATTTGTAAACGTTTTCTAATCTAAATTCCTGTTTTCCAATTTTGTAGATAAAAAGACAGATAAAGTTTATGAGGTGCCTTGGTAAGTCAACCCTCTCAGAAACTTTAAGTTTAACCCTTCAGTTTTAATGAAACCTAGTAAATTAAGAAAACATGAGAGGAAAGTCCATTAGTGTTGCTTTAATTCCACAGCTTAATTTGTATAAATAACAACTCTGGTTTTTTTTTTAAATGAAAAGAATTCAATTTGAGTATTTGAATAAGACATCTACATAGCTTCTTACAACTATTTAAGTTGTATAGACCAATGGAAGTTCTCATTCTAAAAATTCCAGTGAGTAGGAATGTCAGTCTCCACAGTGAACTCTTTGAAATTAAGTTTTGGCCACCCCACTGTAGGAAATAGAGTAGACCTAGGTTAGGGAAGGCTCTAGAGTGATCCATGATTTTCTGCAGAACTTAAATCTCAAACCCCACAGAATTTCTTCTTACAGTTATAACAAACAGCTAAAGCAACTCTGCACAGATTACCACATGTTAGAATGATATCAAAAGTAGAGGAAAATATTTTTAGTAAGGAAATGCAATTCTGATAGCACACTCACGCAGGCACGTGAGTAAACACGGCAGCATGGGATACAGAGTTCAAACCAAAGCTGCACAAAAGTATGTCCAGAGTGAGAAGAACGTTCAAGAAAGCATGTTTATTTTACTCTCTCTTCCTTATGTAAAGATATTTGTACAGACAGGTGCCAACTACTGCAATGTCAAGAACTACAAGAAACCAGAAAACAAGTAATATGTAACTCTAAAAAATAATTACCAAGGTTCAAAATCTAGCAGAAGAAACTAATGTTAGTCATATTTCGGTGGTCAGAATATTATATTTTTAAAGCACATATACATTGATATTCTATCTAGACACTTCACTGTCTAAATGCAATTCCCTGGAATCATTTTAAAAAGTCCATAGTAAGCCAGAGGAGAATCCTTGCATAATTTATAATATTTGGGATGCAAATTCATATGACTAATCTCCTTGAAAGCAAATACATGTATTATTGAGGATTTGTTGATAACTGGACACATAGAATACACAAGAATATATAATTACCAACCCAGCTAGAATATAATGTAAAAGGTCAGGTACTTCTAGACTAGTTTACTTAATTTCAAGCTATAAAAACTACCAAAACTAAAAATATCATTAAAGATGCACTTCTACACATTAATATTTTGATTTAAGTAGCATCCAAGTTTTGAACACTTACATACAATAAGAACAATCACAGCAATGAGTCCTCCATCTGAGAAACAAATAAAACCAATTTGAAGATAATTAAACACATGTGAGTCTCCAGATAGTTTGTGCATTTAAACATTGACCAGATTACTCATAAACTACAGCAAAGTTTATTAGGTTAGTTTATTGTATATAACTGCTAGTGAATCCAGGTCATTTTGAACACAGAACCCTCTATCTGGTTCAGGCTTAGGGTCTAACTTGGGAAACCCTTAATTAGAACCTTGCTTGTCATTGTTTTGTGCTCTAGTCACCACAACTGGTAATAAAAATTAGAATTCACTAAGTTAGAGGAAAATTATTTTGGAGAACATATTATCCATTAGAGTTGGTTTAGTTCAGTCTTCAATTTGTCATTCTTATGACTTTGTTAGATTTTCATTTATACTGTTCCCCAAAAGTGAGTCTATGGGATAAGTCATAAATGAAGTTCTATTAATTGATTACACAGACACAGTTTGCAAACTTCACAAACAATATGTCATTTTATCATTAATACTTCCTCATGTACCCCACTCCCCAAATGAAGACACAGTCTTACCAAGAACATTCTAAGAATGAAAATGAAACATGAGGGCACATGGATAAATTATGATTAGAAACTGATATATGCAGTTCTGTTTTTTTTCCACTATCCAGAAAGTAATAAATAACCCTACCAAATCTTAAAATGTAGATTGGCCACTACATTGGCCACTACAGCTTCTGTTTCCAAACTGCCATTAATTTCATTAAATGTCTATAAGTCACAGAATATAATGTCAGGTTTACCTCTGCTTCTGTCATTTCATAAAAATTATCAAGTGCGTAGCATCTTAGGATGGCCCTGGGTTCACTGGCACAATGATAGTTTGGCTGCAGTGTTCACAGGAAAAACAGAACAAGCCTGAAGGTGCATTTCATAAAAAGATAAACCTTGCTAAACTAGTCTAATGTAAAGAAAAGTAATACATATTTCTCTTCATTTCCTCATCAAAACTCCTTATCTTTCACTTAACTGTCACAACTATATTTTATCATTTCCTTTAACATATATTGCATGAACTTTGTGAGCCAGCACAGTGAAGCCTGACCTAGAAAATAACTAATCCAACTTGAAGTACCCTAAGGCTTATGTATACAAAATATGAATAGAAAGAAATTTTATTTAAAAAAATGCCATTACAAAGTAACACTATCACATGGAGAGCAAGTTAGGTTTTGTAAACTTTAACCTACAAATAATCACAGCAATTGAGAACATTACTTCACCTTATTAGGAATCCTTATTTAAAGCATCTCTTAAAAATTGTATTATCCACATGTGTCTACACATACTACTGCTTACACATGTCATGGTATCTGCACTACTAAAATGAGTACAAATGTCAATCATCACTCATTTGTGCCAGGTTGTTTCTTCTATAACTACAGAGAGTTGAAATGCAATATTTCATTGTAGAACTCTAAGATCTCATAATGCAGGGTTATTTATAATGAAAATAATACCTGAACCGTTATTGTCGACAGTTGGTGATTCATTACTTTGAGTGGAATTTCCTAGAAGAGAGTAAAAATAACTATAATTCTCAAAAAGAAGTAAATATAAAACTTACAGATCTCTAAATTCAAAGGTTTTGATATTTTGCCTTTGTACAAAATCTTTTAGAATTTCATTTTTCTTATACAAATTATATTAATTTTTCTATTTAAAGTGCTATTATGTTATAGATTCATATTCAATGTCATCAGCATTCTTTCTCCTCCCTAGTAATATTTTCTGTGACAATATTCTGTGGTACAGCATGCAAATTTATCATTAGTGTATTGTCAGTATTAGCCTATGAATTCAATGTAATTCTACTTAAAAAAATACAGGAGGGCTTAATAGATGATTTAGAGGGCATTCAGCAATACAGAGAAATTTCAACATAACAAGTCCCATTTATGAAAACTGCCAGCTAACATCATACTCAATGCTGAAAGACTAAAAGTTTTTCCCTTAAAATCAGGAACAAGGCAAAATAACTGTGTTTGTCATTTTTATTCAATATAATGTTGAAAGTTATAACCCAAGCAGTTAGGCAAGAAAAAGAAAGCATCCAAATTGGGAGGAAGAAATGAAATGATCTCTGTTTTAGATGATATGATTTTTAAGTAGAAACATGTAGAAGTCACACACATACATAGGCCCACACACTCACCTGTTGGAACTAAGAAGTTTGTAGCCTGCAAAGTTGCAGGCAGTAACCTGAAATTCTATACACCAACAGTCGCATTTCTATACACTAACAAGGAACAAACCAGGAAGGAAACTGAGCAAACAACTCTACAATAGCATTAAAAAAGAGTGAAATACTCAACAAGAAAGTTAACCAAGGAGGTGAAGGACTCCTACCCTGGAAACTACAAAGTGTCACTAAAAGAAATAAAAGACAATATAAATAAATGAAAAGATATCCTGTGTTCATGCAGTGGAAGATTTGAGATAATTAAGATGTTAATACTACACAAAGCAACCTACAGATCATATGCAACCCCTATCACCATCTGGAATATGCATTTTATATAAATAGAAAAATCCAACATATGATTTGTATGGAATCTCAAAGGACTTGGGATAGCCAAGGCAATCTTGAAATAGAAGAAGTGAAGTTGAGAGAACTCACATTTTCTGTTTTTAAAACTTACTCAAAAGCTACAATAATCAAAGCACAGTGGTGTGGGCATAAATACAGACAGATCAATGGAATAGGATACAGAGCTCAGAAATAAACCTTCACATTCACAATCAAATGATTGTCCCCAAGGTGTTAAGAACATTTAATTGGGAAAGGGCAATCTTTTCAACAAGGTTCTTGAAACATCTACATACAGAAGAACAGAATTTGATCCTTATATATAAAAATGAAATTAAGATGGATCAAAGCACTAAATATAAGGGCTAAAACTATAAAACTCTTAGAAAAAAAAACATAGAGGACAAGCTTCATGATTTTGGGCCTGACAAGGATTTCTTGGTTGTGACACCAAAAGCACAGGTGACAAAGACAAAATCAATAAATGACTTCATCAAAACTAAAAATGTTTATTAATGGTCACAATCTGCCCTGGCTGGAATAGCTCAGTGGATTGAGCCCGGGCTTGTGAACCAAAGGATTGCAGTTCGATTCCCAGTCAGGGCACATGCCTGGGTTGCAGGCCAGTCCCCAGCAGGGGACCCACGAGAGGCAACCACACATTGATATTTCTCTCCTCTCCTTCTCTCCTCCTCTCCTTCCATTCCTCTCTAAAAATAAATAAATAAAATATTTTTAAAAAAAACAAAAAGAAAAGGACACTAAGATATGTGTGTGTCTACACATTTCAGGATGTGAATGTATAGAAACAGAGATAAGGACATCTAAACTATTAAATGATTAACTCAGGTAATGAATTACAGAAACAGGAGACTAATCTTTTATTCCATATACTTTTGTAATATTTGAAATTTTACAAATATACATTTGTATACTATTACTTATATAGTTAGAAGTTACAAAAAGCAATCTATATCCAAACATGTAAAATTTTAGGAGAAAGGTGATTAGTAAAAATAAGGCAAAGATAAAAACCTAAATATGATTCACTTCCTGTTAAGGGGGCTTTAATTTATAATAAGTTGACAAACCAACACAAAATATTCTAAAAATTAATAGAAAAATGAGCAAAGAACATGAAGAAGTAAATGTGGATGAAAAAAAGTTCAGCTTCTTTTGTATGTAATCAAACAAACACAAATTAACAGATGGCATTATTTTTTACTCATCACCTTATGAAATGCTTAACAATACAAATAGGATAAAGAGTTACTAAACCTGGTTGACTTGAAGTAGGAGGTGTGGTTGGAACAACAGTCTTGACACCTCAAAAAATAAATTTGATTACATTTACCAGTTTTATCTATGCAAAATTAGAGATTTAATTTGTTTATTTTTTTACAAAGATTAATTCTTTCTCTAAATGAAAAATGCACACACTTTTCTATCTTTACAATTCTACTATGGAAAGTTACTATATGAATTTTGCTTAAGAATGTTCATTGTAGCTTTATATTTTAGAATGGAAATCTTAGAAATTAACTAATAGAAAATCATAAGAATAAGATGTTCAAAAATATGTATCTGAAAAACTTGCCATCCAATCCCTATCGTACTATTTAACTCTTATGTTTTTGTTTTTCACTCAGTATTTCACATTTTTCATGTTTGGGCATGTGTATCTACCTTCTCATATTTCATATGTTGCTACTGGCTTTTTATAGTTTCTTCTGACTGATGATAAAAAATGATTCAAAGTCCCATGAGGAATTTTGATATTTAAGAAAAAATCCCTATAGTTTATCTTCTTTATAAACAGTTCCTCACAATCCTCTCTCCTTTGAAACACTAAACAGTATCAGTGTTATGTAAGTCCTTTGTACAATATTTATCATCAACTCTTTCAAAAGACCATATCAACTGTACTTGAACAATAATAAACAAAGTTAAAAAATAACTCAAATCATTAGTGAACGTTTCTACTAAATTGCAAAGAATCCCAGGTAATTATAAAGTTATTTTACACTTTGAAATAAAAAAAAATTTAAAAATAAAAGAGCCTGTCAACATAGTATCCTACAGTGTATATACCCACTAGGACCAGGTGAATCGACACAGATGGGCTAATGAGTATAAACTTCACATGCAGACTTAAAATATCAGTCCACAAAAAAACCCATCTTTCCCACCTCCAAAACCTCACAGCACTCAGCTAAGGTACTCAAGGAGGCTACCAGTGTCCGGGTATAGAAGAATTATAAAAAAGGTGTTCTAATTACTGTGTTAACAGGCATAATTCCCCTCAATCCTTTATAATATTAGGAGAAGAGGAAATATACCAACAAATTACAAGCCAGTAATGGAAATTTGTTTTGAGTTCAACACGCTCATGTTTAATGCTCACAGAAATGATATTATTGGAGTAAGTAGAACTAAATTAGGACCTTGTGTGAAGTCTGCCCAGGCTAAAGCTCTTCCCATCACATTAGTCCCCCCTTGTCTACATGGGATACATTCCACAAGCCCCACTGATGCCTGGAAACCTGGATAGTCCTGACCGTATAAACATTATATTTTTATTACACAAATATACCTATAATAATCTTTAATTTATAAATTAGGCAAGGTAAGAGATTAACAGCAACTACTAATAAAATGAAACAAATGGAAATTTACAACTTCCTGTAATAAAATAAGGTGAATGTGGTCTCTCCCTCTGAAAATATCTTATTGTACTGCACTCTCCCTTCTTCTAGTGATGATGTGAGATGGTACCAAGCCTATGTCATGAGAAGTGAGGTGAATACACTGAACCAAGGCATGAGTCCCTGGGTGGGGAAGAGTGGGACAGTGTGAGGTTTCATCATGTTGTTCAGAATGGCAAATGACTTCAAACTTACGAGTTACTTATTCCTGGAATTTCCATGTAATACTTTCTGACCGTGGTTGTGGGTAAGTGAAACCACAGAAAGTGAAACTGTGCTTATGTGGTGACTACTGCATTGCTCTTGGGTCTCATTTCTGCTGAAACTAGAGAGGAGCCAGAGACAGCACCGCTGAAATCAGGAAGACGGTTCTGTCCAGCACACCAAAATAACCTCCCAAGGCTTAAGCCGAGCAGCTCATCAGAAGTCCATGCAAGAAGTCCTCCATTTCAGTCCAATAACAAGAGTTTTTCTGCCTTTCAGTTGCTATGAAATTTATGTTCTATTCCCAAATAAAAATGCCCAGTAAGGAGAAAAAGCATAATTATATGAGGAAGGGAAAGGTGGGGGTCTTGTTCTAGAGACAGCAGATGTTTCTCTGTTTAGATATTACTGCACATTATACTAGGAACAAAACTGGTTGCAGTGCAGGGAATAAAACATCATCCTGGATCATGAAGATACCCTACAAAGTTATCAGCAGATTGTCCTTAAAATAACAAATTAGTAAAGTTAATGACATAGAAAACATGTGTATTGAAAAACAAGCCATGGACCTTCCTCATCACTAATATTAACTGGAGTGATGCTGTCAGTCATAAATGAACTTCCTTAAGAGCTTCCTGTATGACAGGCACTGTGCTAAGTGCTCCAAGTGCATCCCATTTTAACTCTACTACCATCCAGTGAGGAAGGCATTAACTCATTTTACATACAAGAAAAATCATTTAAGGTTTACATAACTTGTTCCCAAGTTTGTTCCAATATCTGCACACTGTGGCAAATAGTTTTAGAATCACTAAGTGTAACAATTACAATGGCTGTGAATATGTTCTTTCTCCTTTCACAACTAAAAATGATGGATGAGTGTAAATCACCAGTTATTTATAGGTTTTTTAAAAGTCACCTGGCATTTAAAGAATTTTGAAAAATACAAGCAGAAAGTACTGAACCTGAGACACTGGAAATTGTAGGTTTTGTAATGACAGGTGTTGACACTGGAAAAAAATAAAGAAGACAGGATCAACCATTAGGTAAAACTTTTCATGCTTCAATTTATTGTGAAAAATGATTGCCTTACATTTTTAGACCTAAGAAATGCTGCACAAGAGTCACCTATGTGATGTATGTAGTGTGCTAAGAAACTACAGAAACACAAATTTTATGTCATATGCTTGTCCCAGAAAAGAATATGAGATAGAGTTAATCACATAAATTACTTCTTTTAAATTATTCAGCATCATTGATATTTAATATCTGAGAAACAAAACCCAGAAAGAAAAGACACCCTTGTACCTTTAATACATTGTGGCATCTTAGGCTCCCAAGTACTGTTAGGTCCACATACGATAATGCTACTGCCTTCGAGGTAAAAATCAGGCAGGCATTCAACTAGAACCATCACCTTGTAGTAAAACTTTCTTCCAGCTCCTGACACCAGTCTTCCATTCTCAAGAACTGGATATTGACATTTGACCACTGAAACGCGAAGAAATTCCAGAATTAATGGAAACCTGTTTTAACACAGGAACACAAAGACTAGTGTAAAATAGTTAATCCCCTAGGGACAAAGAGAAAAAATGAAAGACAGATGGTAATTTGAAATAAGGACTTTATTTTTCATTTTTATCATCTTTCCCACTTAGAATAGACTGTCATGATAGATGATTGGTTTCCTATATGTTTTCCCATTACTGACAAGTTTTATGAAAGGCCTGACTACCACATACAATTTTCAGGTAAGTTCAAAACAACTTCAGACGCTCTTTACCTCTAGGAATTTCTTAAAATAAATTTTATGCTGACACTGATTCAGTACCCTGATCTTTTAGAGAGGAAAAAAGGAAAGGCATTTGTAAAAAGGTAATATTTGAGCTCAAATGTTGAAAACAAGGTAACCATACAAAGATATGGAAACAACAAGTCATCAGCTATCAAAATACAAGAACTGTGATGTTCAAGAAATAGAAAAGCCACTGGAGTTAGGACTGCGTTCCAAATATTTTGCACTGGAACTCAGAGATCAAAAACCACAGTTTATATTGTAATCCCACAGGCCTGAGATGAAGTTAAAACTTAATATTAGCCCTTGTACCCATGTATTCTGGTATTTACCATTCTGCTCTGCTTCTTAGCAAGTAAAATACTGGATACCATTCTCTGGTTGATTTCAGGATCCAACAATGAGTATGGCAAAATTTGGAAAAAATCACAAACAAAAGAAAACACCTGGCTGGACATTAAGTAGAAGAGAACGTCTTATGAGAGTAAATCTGAGCAACACATAAGGTTCTGTCATGAGCTGCCATGTAAACCAGAAGAGTGCTCTTCATCCTTACACATAGACCTGAGTTTCCATCAAGTATCTTTTCCCTGAAGAGCTTCCTTCAGTAATTCTTGAAATTAAGTTAGGGTAGTGACAATTCTCTTACCTTTTGTCTCAAAAGGTTGTTTTTTTTCCCGAACTTTCCCTTTAGTTTTAAACCATTTCTCCTTGATAGAGATTTCTGTTATCTGTTTTATTTTTATTTTTCAGCACATTATTGGACAGCATTGTCTTCTCATGTCCACACTTAAAAGAAGTCAGCTGTCATTCTTACTTAGAGGGATGGGGTAATGTAATATGTTTCTTTTGTGTCATTGGCTGCTTTTCTTTTTATTTTGTGTTTTTAGAAGTTTAACCATGATGTGTTTAGTTTTGGGGGGGGTTCTTGATAAATTTAAAAAAATTATTTATCCTGCTAGGGTCACCAAATTTCCTGGACTCCTGTGTTGTTGCTTTGGACATAATGTGGATACTTTTTGAACAGTATTTATTCAAAGAGTCCCATACTGTTGTTTTCCCTCTCTTTCTGAAGCTCCATTAACATGCATGTTGGACTGCTTGCTACTCTTCCCCAGGTTGTGAGTCTTTCTCTCTCTCTTTACATTTCCAAATCAGGCTGGATTTCTACTGTTCTCACTTGACGTTCACTGACCTTTTCTATGTTGTGCTAAACTGCCGTTAGTCATGGTAATGGTTTTAAGTTAGGTTTACTGTATATAATTTACACACAGTAAAACCATTTTAACTGTATAACTTGTATGAGGGTTCAATAAATGCAAACACTTATTATGTAATTTCCAACACAATAGACATGAAAGAGTTCCATTATTCTCTAATACTTCCTTGTGACATTTTGTAATCCACCCTCTCCACGAGCACCTCCAACCACCTCCCCCAAACAGCAAACCATTGATCTGTATCAGTAGTTTCTTGTTTTTATTTCCAGCCATTTTTAGGTGTTTAGTGATATCTGGTTGTGGTTTTAAATTATATTTCTGTATTTATTAATTATAGTGATTAACTTTGCATGTACTTTTTGCCATCCATATATTTAGTTGATGAAATAGGGGTCATCAAATATTTTTCTCATTTAAAAAAATTGCGTTGTTTTTAAATGATTGTCGTTTGAGAGATTTTTATATATCTTTGATACAAATTAACTATCAGATATGTGCTTTGGCAATATTTTGTCCCAGTGTTTGGTGCATTTTAAAAAATTATTATAACAATATTTTTTGAGAGCAGAAGCTTTCAGTGTTTTAAAGGATCACAATTTTGCACTTAAGAAATCTTTGGCCAAGTCATGACTATGATCTGCATTTTCAAGTAAAAGTGTTATAGTTTTGTCTTTAAGTTAAGTCTAAGTACTATGTTTACTGCATGTTTGAATATGGTGCTAACGTGGGTTGTGCTTTTCTTTTATGGCATATTGATGTTCAATTGTGGCTGAACTTTTAACATTTTTTCCACTGAATTTGTTTGTACATGTGTGACAAAATCAACTGGGCCCATATGAAAGAGGCTATTCTATATTCTCTATTCTGTTCCATTGTTTTCTATTATATGCATTGGTATATGTTGTATAAGGCTTGACACCAGATAGAATGCATATTTAATTTTTTGCAGAATTATTTTGACTCTTCCAATTCTTTTATCTCTCCATACAAATTTTAGAATCAGTTTGTCAATTTTTATAAAACTTATACTGGAATTTTTTATTGCGACTATACTCAATTTATACACCAGTGACAGGGAATCGATATCTTTATTATATTGATTCTTGCAATCCATGAACAATGAATGGCTCACTATTATTCTTTCTGACTTCTGGCCAAGATGGAGGCATAGATGAAAATACTTTACCTCCTGGAACAAACAAGTTTAAGGACAACAAAGATTTAAGAAAAAAACACAACCAAAACAATCATAAAATTGAACTGTACCAAAGTCCAACAACAACAAACCATACATCCAGACCAGTAAGAGGGACGGAGTTGGTGGCTGGGGCAAGGGTCACCACAGAAAAAAGTGGTGGCTGCTGAACTTACCCAGGCACACAGGTGGCCATTGGCAGATCCCAGGCATGGGGTGGCAACAGGCAGAGCCAGTGAGGGCACAAGTCTGCTGGCTGACTGAAGTCACACATTCACATGCAAATAAACCCAGCAAAAAAATGAGCAGTGAGATAGACCGCACAACCCAAGGCCCCAGCAATGGGAATTAAAGCCTAAAACCACTAACTGGAAAAACTTTCGGGGATTGCGGTGCTGGGAGAGGCTCCCAGCCTCACGGGAGAGTTTGTTAGAGAGACCCATAGGGTCCTAGAACACACACAAGCCCAGGAACCAGCACCAGAAGGGAACCAGCACCAGAAGGGAACTAGCACCAGAAGGGCCCAATTTGCATGTGGGAAGTGGCAGAGGGAAGTGAAGTCCAAGAGAGAGCAGAACAAATGCCATTGCTTCCTCTCTGACCCTGCCCCCACATACAGCGTCACAATGCAGCCACTGGGTTGAACCGCCCCAGTGAACACCTAAGCTTTTGCCCCTCATGTGTAACAGGTGTGAACAGACCAAAACATATGGCTCAAGAAGAAGAACAGCTCAAAGCCCCAGAGCCAATACTTCTAAGCCACCAAGAGATAGCCAACCTATCAGATGCACAGTTCAAAACACCGGTGATCAGGGTGCTCACAGAACTGGTAGAATTTAGTCACAAATTAGATGAAAAAATGAAGGCTACACTAAGTGAAATGAAGCAAAATGCACAGGGAACCAATAGTGATGGAAAGGAAACTGGGACTCAAATCAGTCAAGTGGACCAGAAGAAAGAAAGAAACAACCAAACAGAAAGGAATAAAGAAACAAGAATTCAAAAAAATGAGGAGAGGCTTAGGAACTTCCAGCACATCTATAAACGTTCCAATATCTGAATTATAGGGGTATCAGAAGGGGAAGAGGAAGAGGAAAAGTGGAAAACTTATTTGAACAAATAATAAAGGAGAACTTCCCCAATCTGGCAAAGGAAATAGACTTCCAGGAAGTCCAGGAATCTCAGAAAGTCCCAAAGAAGGTGGACCAAGCAGGAACACACCAAGGCACATCATAATTACATTAGCCAAGATGAAAATGAAGGAGAGAATCCTAGAAGCAGCAAGAGCTAAGGGGACTGTCACCTACAAAGGAGTTCCCATCAGACTGTCAGCTGATTTCTCAAAAGAGACCTTACAGGCAAGAAGGGGCTGGAAAGAAGTATTCCAAGTCATGAAATCCAAAGACCTACATCCAACATTGCTCTATCCAGAAAAGCTTTCATTTAAAATGGAAGGGCAGATAAAGAGCTTCTCAGATAAGGTCAAGGAGTTCATCACTAAGCTTTTATTATCTGAAATGTTAAAGGGACTTATGCAAGAAAAACAAGATAAAAATATGAACAGTGAAAGGACAGCAAACTCACAGTTATTAACAACCACACCTAAAACAAAAGCAAACTGAGTGGACAGCTAGATCAGGAGTGGAGCCACAGAAACGGAGATCACATGGAGGGTTAGCAATAAGGGAGTGGGAGGAGGAGAAGGGGGAGAAGGTATAGAGAATAAGTAGCATAGACATCGGGGGGGAAATAGAGCAGTTTGGGAAATGTAGAAGCTAAAGAACTTATGACTTATGGACATGAACTAAAGGGGGAAATGTGGGTGGGATGGGGTGTGCAGAGTGGAGGGAAATGAAAGGGGGGAAATGGGACAAATGTAATGGTGTAATCAACAAAATACATTTTAAAATAAAAAAGTAATGTCTTCTTTAATTTTTTAAGTGTTTAGTTGTCCTAACCATTCAAATATTGCACAAGTGTTGTTAGATTCATTTGTAAATATTTTATGTAGTTCAGAGTTGTAAATGATACCTTTTAAATTTCTAATTGTTTATTGCTAGTTATAGACATACCATTGATTTCTGTACATTGAGCTTGTGTCTTGTAAACTTGGTAAGACTTCATTCACTCTTTCATATTTTCCACACAATCATGTCATAACTGAATAAGTCCATTTTATTTTTTTCTTTCCCTTATGTATGCTTATTTCTGTATGTTGCCTTATTGCACTCCATAGAACCTTCAGTATATAATGATGAATAGAATGGTGGGAGTAGACATTCTTGTCTCATTCCTACCTCAGTTACAAAATAAATATTTTGTTAAATGTAATGTCTGTGTGATTCTTGTAGGTGCCTTTTATGAGGTTGAGATAGTTAAGCTCCTTGTATTCCTAGTTTGCTAAGAAGCTTTACCATGAAAGATGATGAATTCTGTCAAATTCTGTTATAATGAATATGTGTCTTTTCTTCTTTATAGTCTCTTTATAAGGTAAATTATACTGATGAATTTTTGAATTTGCATTCATGGAAAAAATCTTACTTGATTATGATATAATCCTATTTTTCTAGATGACAGAATTTTATTTGTTTAATGGTTTTGGTTGTATGTTCATAGTGGATATTATTTTTAATTTTCCTGCAATGTTTTGCCTGGTTTAGGTATCAGGGTAATGCTGTCCTTATGAGATGAGGTGAGAACTATTTCCTCTTATAGTATTTTATTGAAGAGTTTATGTAGAGCTGTTATTATTTATTCCTTAAGTGTTTAGTAGAATTCCTAGTTATGATATGGAGCCTGTAGTTCTTTTTGTGAAAAAGCTTAAGTGTTAAATTTATTGGAAGAAAATTGTACGTCATTCCTTTATTGTCCTTTAAGTATGCAGAATATTTAGTGATGTTCTCTTCTTCATTGTTGATGTTGGTGATTTGTATCTTGTGTGTTTTTTGTCAGATTGAGTATGAGTTTATCCATTTTACTGCTCTTCTCCAAGAACCAGGTGTTGCTTTCAATGATTCTCCCTACATTTTTTTCAATTTTATTGATTTCTGTTTTGATTATTTTGTTCTGTGTTCTAGGTCTGAGTTCAATTTGCTCTTCTTTTTTAGTTTCTTAAAGTTGAAAGCTTAGATTATCAATCTGACACTTTTCTCTTGTCCTAATATAAGGATTTCATGCCATGAATATCAGTCTTAGCAATGCTATTGCTGTATTCTAAAACTTGTGAAATGTTGATATATTCTGTTTTCACTTTTCTTCAGTTCAGAAGTTTCTAATTTCCCTTGTTACTCCTTTTAGGTTTAGTTAGAAGTGTTTTGCATAGTTTTAAAAAATTTGGGAGTTTTACAGATATCTGTTCTGATTTCTACATTCATTCCATTGTAAAGATACTATACTGCAAGTAATTTCAATTTCTGAAATAAAAAAATTTAAAAAACATATTGCCTAGAATATGGTACTAAACATTGTTCCATATGCACTTGAAAAGAGAAAATATTTTGTTGTTTTTCACTGGTTCCTTTTGTTCAAGAGTCAAATACCCTCCAGTGTCTCACCTCTGTTGGTCATGCTTAAATATCTTTAACATTGTTGTTTAAGTATAAGGAAATTTCTGAGATATTGTGGGTTTGTTTCAGACTATAGCAATAAGTGAGAACCCAAGTAAAGTAAGTCACAATTGTTTTGCTGGTTATAGTATTGCCTTCAATTTACAAAAAGTGGGATATGTGTAAACTGCAACAAGGCAAAGCACAATTAAACAAGATATGCCTATATGTTTTGACCAGAGCTTATCAATTCTGTTGGTGAGAGGGTTAGTCTTTTACAATTTATTCTCCCATTTTCTGTAGCCAGATCTCACAATTATGAAGAGATGTCATACTTGTCTTATAATAACATAGAACTTTCTTAAAGCCAGTGTATGTTTTTTGATGCTTTTGAATCAGAAAATTTTAATTCATGCATATACATAGCAATTAACAATGTCTAAACAGGAATGCCAAGAACATGTGGGATGAAGAGTGGAAAATTCTATACCTAGAATTATGTTTCATTCTATTTGAGACATATTCAATTAAATTTGAAACCAATTTAACAGGGAAAACAAGCAAAGTGGCTTTTAAAAAAACTTGTTGGCCAAAGTATTGAAATGTTGTTAAAATTTTCCACACTATTTATGAATGAGAGGGAAACAAATGGAAATATTATTACCTTTACATTCAGGAGGGTTACTGCTCCATAGGTTATGCCCAGAACAAACAAGCCTGTTTTCTCCAACAAGGGAATATTCATCTGGTCCATTTGAAGGATCACAACTATAAAATACTATTTCATTATATTCAAACGTAACCTTGTGGCTATTGGTGTATCTCCCATTTGATATTTGTCCAGGTGGTTGACACAAAATTACTTAAAAGAAAGAAAAAGGACATAAAAGGTAAGATGTAAAAGATAAAGAGTGTATTAGTAAAGTTCTGTGAACGACCTTCAATAAATTTAATAATATATGATTTCTACCATCTAGTTGTGAATCCAATATTCAGTTAAAGAAAGTTTCTTTGAGAAAATGTACTGTCTCAACATAAACTATTAATAGAGATATGAAATTTTAGAGTAAAATTCATTTTCTTAAATACTTATATAAGATACCTAAATAAAATACCTGTATTTATCTGTAAGGCCATGCTAAGTTTTTTTTCTTTTCTAATTATAACAGATGCTGACAGTTTAATGAGAAAATATACTTCTGATTAAGGGAAACTCAGTGCTAGTTGAGAAATGCTACATCCCTTCTTAAATCAATAGTTCACAGGTAAGCCAAGATTCTATTGTCTCTTTTTCACTGTCATCCTGACGAGTGTACAGTGAATTTTTCCACTGGCTTCACATTGTTTGATGTTGCAGTGGAGTGAATCTGGAAGTCTTCCTTTAAGCTAGATATTGAAGAGATTAGAAAAAATGTAAAGTGTTGGGAACTGCTCTGCCTGGCTTCAGAAATTGTAATTGCCTCCCATGGCTAAGGATGAGTGAGCCACCTCTGGAATGCAACCCACAAGGAGACAATGCTTGTTTCTGGTAGCAGACACTGCCTCTGCTGCCTACCCTGGCCCCAAAGCATGGTCGGTTACCCCATGATGGATAAGACTCCTCAGACAGGGGCAACCTAAGCCAGACATGATCACTTGGGAGGACATCATGGAAGGACTCAGGGGGCTGCAAAAAAAGAGGAAGTGATATATCTTCAGCCCCCCCCCCCCCAAGTTATTCTGACGTAGCCTGAGTCCCCAAGTCTTCTGGGTGAAGTGCTTTGTAGCTATAATCCACTTAAGCCTAAAAACCTATGATGGAGAAGGTGGTGCAGCCCTTGCTGGACAGGGCAGGTCCCCCAGGTGATCAGGCCTAAGAAAGAATATGTAAAATCCTGTGAAACCTGCTTGGTTTAGAATGCTCTCATTTAAATGATAAGGGTCCAAGCAAGAAGTTTGTCTCTCAAAGTTTTATGGCTCTTTAGCTATCTGACCCTCACTCAGAATAAGCCCTCACAGTTCTTTGAATGCTATCTATTTTTTGATCCTTACCTATATTCTTGTGCAAATGAACCCAATAGAAGGCCCTTGAGGAAGGGGATCTTGGCCTTTTTCCTCTGAGAGATCAACCACATTGTGTCTTCGTGGTTTCAGTTTCATCAGTGGTGGACTGGGAAACTTTCCAGGCAAAATTGCCCCCACAGTAAAGCAATGGCATTTTTCTCTATTTTTGTTTTGGAAATGTTTTATTTTACACAAAAATAGGTTGGATATATATGTCAACATGTATTGAGTTGACTGTTTTTTAAATGAATTAGTAAATAATTATTTAGAAAACTTCTCTATTTTAATTCCAATATAAAGAATATCAGTAGCACTAACCCACCTGCAGAAGAGCTCTTGAGGGGGGGTTCTTTGTTCATTGTAAGGCATGAAAGAGTCCCCAGGGAACAGAGTTTGAGCACTGCTGCTCTAAATGCTGAAGAGAGAATATACTTACTTTCACAGTGTGGGGGACTGCCACTCCATTCCACAGTAGTTCCCGATAGTTCACAGTATCGAATTTTTGTTCCAACTAAGTAATAACTAAATGAGAAAAGAAATGATGATTGTGTTCTTTCTCAGTTATGAAGAACACATAATAATGAGGAACTTTTTACGTGGTTGTTTTTCTGCACTACAGTAACTTCAGGAAGAAGTTTCTTAAGTGACATTTACAAACATGCTAGCCAAATCTGCAATTTAATGAACTAAAGAGATTCTTATATGAACACATATTGGCCTGGAACAAAATGTCTATAGAAATCTGTCCTGGCTGACAGACTGGGGCTTGCTGCCTCTGGCAGGCAGATCACCCATTCACTTCCAAGTCCTTGCTCACACCATTCTGCTCAGTCAGGACAACAAGTGAGTAGAGAGATCTGGCCCAAGAGCTTATCTTTCTGGATTTGAGTTCCAGCTCCAAGACTGACTTGTGTTTTGAGCTTAGGCAAGTCCCTTAATGTTTCTCTTTCTTAAACTTCTCATCTATGGAAATGGTATATATATATATAGTGGGGTTGTTTTGAGAAGTAGGTAAATTAACATCCGGAATGCAGTGAATGCTAGGCAAGTTTTCGATGTTATGAATGGCAAAAATGGCTCAGGCAAAAATGGCTCAGGGAAGAATGGCTCAGGAAGACCCCTACCTGATGAATTTTTTTATTTGACAATCTAAGAGAAAACAGGTCCAGTGCCCTTGTCTAAGTAGCCTGGCATTGTATGTTTTAAAAATTGTTGCAACACTGTAGTATGCCTCTTGTGGCCTCTGAGAAACAAAAAATGAGAAGAGATTGAAGAGGAAGGAGCCTAAGAGACTTGTGGAACCTGTGGGACACCAGTAAGCAGACCAACATCTGTGCACTGTGGGAATCCCTGAAGGGAAAGACAAAGAGAAAAGCACTGAGAATTTTCAAGAAATAATGACTGAGAGCTTCCCAAATTTGATAAAAGGCATGACTATACCTATCAAAAAAAACTCATCAAACTCCAAGTAAAATGAAATCAAAGACCCACAGTAAGACCCATAATACACTTCCAAAAGCAAGTGATGAAAGGAGAATTCTGAAAGCCACAAGGGAGAAGGTGCAAATTATCAAGTACAAAGGATCCTAAATATGATTATCAGCAGATTTCTCATCAGAAACTTGGGGGCAAGAAGACATTGAACTAATAGATTCAAGAGGATAGGAAAATAATGGTTAACCAAAAATCTTCTACACAGCAAAATTCTGCTTCAAGAGTGAGGGACATACTAAGATTGTCCCAGAAATCAAAAGTTAAGAGAATCTGTTATTGCTACATCTCACATGCAAAAAATACTCCAGGGTGTCCTAAAGGTAAAATTAAAGGACACTAGAGAGTAACTCATACTGTATAGGCCAACATCTCCCTGCAGGTATATACGTGAGCAACTAATAAAGCAAAAATTATTGTGGCAATGGTTTATAAATGCATTTTATTCTATATGTGATTTAAGAACCTATTCTTACAATGAAAATAAATAGTGAAGAAGAAGCCAGTATTGCAATTATTATTATAGAGGAATGAGATGGAGCTGATCAAATCCATTATTGTAATTTATTGGAGTTAAGTTGGTATAAATTCAAACTGTTGTGTTATAACTCTAGGATGTTAAATGTGATCCCCATGGGCACCACAGACAAAGTCACTATACAATATACACAAAAAGAAATGAGAAAGGCATTCTAACATTTCATTATAACAATCAACTAATAAAAAACAGGAATGCACAAAATGAAGGGCAAAATAAAAAGCTTTAAGAAAACAAACAGCTCTCTTCTTGTTGGTAATTACTTTAAACTTTAATGGATTATACACTACAATCAAAAGGCAGATATGGGTGGAATGGATAAAAACAAAAAATCCAACCCTATGCTGTCTGCAGGTGACTAACTTGACATTCAAAGACATGAACAAGTAGAAAGTGAAAGAATGGAAAAAGACATTTCATGCAAATTGTAACCAAAAGAGGGCAGGATGGCTATACTAATTCAGACAGAACAGATTTTGAATTAAAAAAGGTTGTAAGACATAAGAAGCACATCATATTTTAATGTTTTATATACTTTGAGGAGATATAATAAGTATAAGCATTTATGTACCTACAGACAAACTTTCAAAATATATAAAGCAAAGGCTGACAACTGAAGGAAGAAATATACATTTTTACATAACAGGCCTATCTCCAATAATGGTTAGAGACTTTAGTATCAAAATCACAACAATTGGTAGCACAAGACTGAAAATAAGACAAAAAGACTTCAACAGTACAATTAAACAGCTAGATTTCACAGTCATAAAGCACCATAGAGCAGAATATACATTCTCCTCATTTGCACTTGGGACATCTCCCAGGATAGACAACGATCAGTCACAAATTAACATTAACCAATCAAAAGGTGTGAAACCGATAGAAATCAGATCATAGAAATCATTCTCTGACCACATGGGATAAAGTTGTTTAACATAAACCTTCACATCCGGAGGCTTTTCTAAAAGAACACATTCATTGAGTGGCCACATGCTAGTTAGGGAAAAACACAAACAAAAGCAAAACAAACCAGGTCCTGGGGCATGCAGTCTGATGTACCAGCAGCAGGGACAGATGGAGAAGGCAACATTTCTGCCATCCTCGGTTTAATGGGGTTCTTTTTATAGTTTTAAGGAGAAAGATGCAAGTTATTTTTAAGGGATTTGCATTTGTTGTAGATAAGGAGGTGCAGAAGAAGAAGAAGTGGGGTAGTTCTGGGACAGGTGCAGATTCCGTAGAGGAAGAGATGATGGGAGCCTTTTGATTGTTGGATGGCAATAATCTGAAAAGTTCATGTGTAAGGAGGATGTGGTGAAATCTGGTGGTCAGCAACTCCTTTTTAAATAAGAGCTGTAGCAGCTCTTAAACACTTCTGAAGTAGCTCTGGAAGTTGATTCAGACTTTCAACATACAGTCCAGAAAGTGAGCAGTCTTAGTTTCTGCCCTTGGCTCACTCCCTGTCTCTCCTAGCCACCCTCAAGCCTTCTGTAATTTAATTTGGGACCATGTCACCATGATTACTACATTTTTAATGCCTACAAGAGGTTTATTATTACATATAGTATTATATAATTTTGCTTTCCTTTCATTTAAATTTCTATGCATTACACACTGGTCTCCATAAAAAGCCCAAGAATTGACTGGCTATAAATATGACTTGTCACACAGGAAACAAGATGAAATCAACATTATGGGAACGCTTAGGAGAAAACCAAACAAAAATAGAACTAGTAATATTTACCTTATTTCTCTAAGGAGCAACTTACCCCTCATTACAAACATAGCGAGCC